AGACACTTACTTATAGTGCTGTGCTAACAAAATCGTTGATCTATTTTCATGTTGGGCAATTAATTTAATTATGCTCAAAAGCCACAGATTGCACTCCCAATTGTGATTACCTGTCTTGTAAATGTTTGTCATGTGTCACAGGAAGAATCTGCAGCCAGAAGGAGGCGAGGTCGGCTCCATTTCCAGATAAGAAAAATAACACAAAGGCATTACTGCTGGCAATGGGTGGGAGGATATGGACCGTGAAAGCAGGACCAATGTTAGAGGTGGTCTCTCTCTACCCACTCAGAGGCAACATCATAGCCTGTAATGTGTGGCAAGCAACATGCAGAGACACTATTGTATTAGTGCCTACTCATATAATACTTCATGCCTTGTAGTCCAATGTGGTCCTCACTACAGAGATGACAGTGTTTACTGCAGGAGGGTGACAGCTTCAAGTTGGCTTATCTGTGGGAAAGTTGGGGATGTATCTCAAATTAAAACTTAAATATATAATTCTGTGTATTCTTGATTTGATGAGTTTATGGGAATCCTATAAATATATTCTTTGCGAAGCCATAAAAACACAATCTTTACAATTATTGCATGTCATAATGGTAATTTAATATACATCTTTTGCAATGTCAATGTTAAAATATATATTCATAAACTTTTGCAGTTTCATATTTTCATTAAAGTGATAATTAGTACCAAGTAGAGTAAATAAAACAAAATATCTTTAGAAAGTACATGATGAAAAAGCATATGATTTTATTCTTTCAAAGCAGTCATTTTCTGCATTGTGAAGAATGTCATGTTATTTCTGTAATTTTCCCATAAGCTGTGGTGATGTCTGTACTAGAATTAAATAAAATCAAAAGATTAAATTAACTGCTTCATACAGGAAGCCTCACTCTAGACAAATGAGAATCATGTGTTGCCTATTTGAAATGTCCTTATTTAATATTCATTGTGCAGTTAGTAGGTTTATTATTGTGGAAAAATTTGAGAATCTAAGATTCAATAAAATAATGAGAAGGTGAAAGATATGAGAAATATTATGTTGTGGTTTGAAAGGTTGCCCCCTAAAAATTTTCTTCATATTTTCATAGCCTCTGAACGTGAATTTGCAAAACACATCTTTAAAAATATAGTTGCGGATCTGGAGATGAGATCAGGCTGTGCCATCTAGGTCAGTGGTGGCGAACCTGCAGTATGTGTGCCGCAGGGGGCTGTTTGTGTCATTGAAAGCTCTCAAAGGTTTGCCATCCCTGATCTAGGTGGTCCTTAACTCCAGTGAAGAGTTCTCATAAGAGAAAGGAGAGAAGAAGACATAGAAGAGAAGATACAATGAAGATGGAGAGAGATATCCTAGAATTCTGCAGGCATAAGGAACATTTGGAGCTGCCAGAAGCCACAGGTGGAATGAGGGAGTAGGGTTTGGCCACAAGTTGATGTAGAATTTCTGTCTTCTAGAACTGTGAGAGAATATTTTTCCATTGTTTTAAGCCATCAAATTTTGGAATTTGCTATTGCATCCGTAGGGAATTAACATATCACTTCTCACATTATTTTTTATTCATTAAGTTTATTGGTACATTTTAAGTATACAATATGATGACATTCATCATTGGGAATGTGTACCTGTACATGATATATCTTGGTTCTTACTTTTCCCCCATTCCCCTGCCCTCCCTTCAACCCCTAAGGGGAAGGGGAAGGTGGAGTGTGTAGGGGGTAAGGGAAAGAAATGAAGGGAAAAGAAAAAAAGTATGAGAAAAGGCAAACACGGAAACTCACATTTGTATTTTAATTGAGATCTTTTGGTAATAGAAAGCCTGTGAAGTTCAAAGGTGATAGATCTTCTCATGTTGGCAGGCCAGGGAAGCTTTTTAAAAAGTGGCTTTATTTATGGTCAATAGGCATGGAAGAATCCAGTGCTTTCACCCAGTTGTAAAATTCGCTTTGTTGATTTGCTGAATTATTAAAACCATCTACAGGACCTTGATCATAGTAATAACATTAATAATGATGACAAAATAATATATTATTCTTTAGAGCTATCCCCATATATATCAGGTAGTGTGTCATAATAACCTTATGAGGTAGCTGATATTATATTTAAAGAGCAAGAAAGTGAAAATAGAGAAATACTTTGTTCAGTGTGAGAAGTAGATGGTGAGAGAGCCTGTGCTTAACTATAAGCTGTTCTACTTCTATATTCTTGCTTAAATTACTTGAAAACTCCTTATATGTAATTTTATCTTCTTTCTTTGTATCTGCTCATTGTTTTCTGAATATGCTTGAATCTGAGTCTTTCTTTTCTTAAAACAAAACAAAGGCCATGCCCAAGCTCTGAAATCTCATATTAGTTATTATCATCCTATCTCAAGACTTCATTAAAAAATAATGAACAGCTACTATCTCCACAACTATTCAATGAGGTATTAAGTTCTCGTCTCACTTTGTATTCTCACCATTTGTTAACTTTATGTATGTATTCTATGGATTCAATTATCACTTAAAGTCTGATGAATTTTAAACCTCCACCCAAGCTTCTTTCCTGAGTTTCAGATGTAATTTACTGTTAGATCTGGCTCCTGAAGCTTAGGCTATTTTACTCAAGTCAAAAAAAAATAATATATATATATATATATATATATATATATAATTTCTCTAAAAGTTTATTTCTACTCTTTATGTCTATCTTCACTGAAATGTTTCCACTAAAGAATCAGGCAAACCAGGATCAACACATAAAATTATTTCTCTTTCTCTTCACCTCAACACAAAAAAATAATCAATAAATCCTATACAAATTGCCTTCATAATTATGCTCCAATTTACCTCCTTACCATCCTTACCATCCGTACCAAATTTACTTCCTTACCAGCAGCCATTCTTTGAGACTCCGCGGCTGCTTTCTGGTCTTTTGACTCATCCTGCTCCTCTTATAGAACTTTAAGTGACCTTCGCTTACTGAGGTGGTCTGCCATGGACAACACGACGGGACCACTTCCTTCCAGTCTGAGGCAGCTTGTTCTGCTGTTTGTGTGCCTTTTACAGAACATTTGGTATTTTGTTAAATACATTGAATCTCATTTTCTTTTTCAATTCACAAAAAGCCTTCAATATATTATATTTGAAAGTCTCAATTTCACAAATTTGGGGTGTAGAAATATAAATGCATCATTGTGGTACAAGTAAAGAAATGGAAGCTCACAGTGTTTAAAAGTTTTGCATTGCAGAAACAGGATTAAACCCTATTTGCCTGATTCACATGTTCTCTTCTCATCCTTCTTCCATCTCTGTTGAAAAAGCCCAAATCTGACAGTGTCTACACTCCTAGATGAAGACCATTCTCTGATTTAGCTAGACAGGGTTTATTAATGATAGCTAACTCATAGTGCATTGGTGTTAATATTCATTCTTACTTGTCACCTTAGAAGTTTCAGGTCCACATCAAGCCTTAAAGCTCTTGAGCCTTCTTTGGTCCATCTTCCTCCCGTAGTGTTTTGTGGACAAGGTGAACTAGATGCAGTGGTGGTGAACTTATGACGTGGGTGTTATTTGTTTTTCTTCTATAACAAAAGAAGTTAATGTATGAGCTGTTTTTCCTAAACTAAAACCTCAGTATTAGGTTTAATTACAGTGTTGGAACTTTGAAATAAAGAAGTGGGTTTTGGGTTACACTTTGGGTCCTTATCTCTAAAAAGTTTCCTATTGCTGAACTACAGTATGAGGCTAGTATGTGGAAGTATCTCAGGTAGTTAAGGCATGTTCAAGATCAATGATTGCATTTACTCATAGGTGATTTGAAAATGGAACTGGCTGTCTATTTAGCTTGGCTGAAGAAGAATGAATCATAGCAAGTTTTGCTGTGATGCTTTCTAGTCTTTATTTCAACATTTTTATTGTCACTTTTGCTCTTTGACTCCTGCTATTAATTTGGTTCTAAGCCTACAAAAGTATACTGCTCCCATCCCATTTGTGGGTCACAAACTGCTCTAGATTTTTCGTTATGGAGTAGAGGTATAGGTCAGTAGGTATTTTAAAAGTAGTATTTATTAAGTATTAAATAATACAATAGTGTTGAGTTCATTAATCTCTTCATTATATGTTTGTTTATTTATAACATATAGATAGTAAATAAAGTATGTTTCTAATATATAAAATATATACCTTAAAGTATTATTACACATTCAGTTCATCAAATATGAAATGCAGAAATAGGAATACATTGCATGGAGCACTTTCCTGAATACAGAAATGAGTGAGACGTAACTTATTTTAGTGCAAAGGGCATTTCAGCATTTTGAGTAAGACAAGATCACAGTTTTCTCAATGAAAGAATGTAGGATTTTGAACAATCGCTTAACTCTATGCTTCTTCCTTTCTCATTTGAAATAATTACTCTTTCAGTGACAAATAACTTTCTGTCATTAGAATAAAATTATATTATAAGGCTGTAATGAAGATTAATAGAACAGTAATCATTTTAAAGCCCCTACTTCAGGTCCTGATATATATATATATATATATATATATATATATATATATACACATACACACTGTTACTTTATTTATCAGAGGTTGATTAAATGTAGAAAATTGAGAAACTGATGACCTATAATGGAAGAAACTAAGATATTTAATAAACATGACTAAACTCAGAGAAATATTTCTAACCAGTAAAACCATCAGACAATGGAAATGGTTTTTGTTGTTTTGTGGTGGGGAGCTGACAGTTGGAAGGGCTCAAGTAGGGGCCTGATTATAGTTGTGGGGAGAGAAAACTATAGAGAATTTTTTAAATTATGTGTAAAAATTACCAAGTTAATGATTAAGGTCCCCTTCAAGACTAATAATATTGATGTCAAAATTGAAATCCTCACTTCTTGGGTTAACATTTAACTCTCACAGTCATTGACATTTCTGTGTGATTGAATTTAACAGCCTCTTGGAGTATTAATAGAGAGGTCTGACAGGAGATGTTAAGAGAGCTGGGTGGCTAGGGACTTACTTCATATTTTTCCTTGGAGAGGGGTGGAGAAAGTTGCTGAAAACTACCTTTCACTATTGCAATTTGCTCAGGTGAGATTTGTCTTTGTCTTCGCTACATTTAATTAGAATATCTAAACTAGCTACTGTCCTTCAGAAATCTCAGCTTTTGAAATTTGATTGGTGAGTTAACATTGACCCTATACTCTTTCCCTCTCTCTCAGCAGCCCTTCATAATCTTTTCTCTACTGAGGAAGGTGCTGCATTAGTAGTACAGTGAGATTATCAAATTTCAGAATGCTATGGGACACCTGTCATTTAGATCAACAGATTTAAGGAGAATAGAAAGTTGATTTCTCTTACATTCAGGGTGATTCCAAAATAATGAAGCAGGCATTGAATTGCTCTCTGTGGCTCCCAATAGCCCTAATTCAATAATGCCACCTATAGCTTATCAAGACCCTGATGGAATCTCTGACTTTGTGAAACTAGATTGAAATCTATCCTGAGTATTTTTTAATCCCATGAGAATCAGACTGTTGTCCAGGGAGTGTATTCTGAGTCACTTCCCTATAACTCTCTCTATATACACACCTCTAAAATGATTTATAGTGTCATAGGGTGTTATGTCCTACACAGTAGGAATTTTTTTCTGGCTAGAACCCACTTTACAGAGCTTAATGTATATAAAACCCTTGGAGGGTTTTACATATTTATCAGCCACTCATATGTACAATATAAAAATACTAAGTTAGATTATTCTCGATTAGCCTAACTGCTGGCTATAAGGAACATTTCTTGGATTGGAAGTAATAAGGAGGCAGGGGAGAGGGGTTATTTGTGCAAATAGAGGAAATAGAAAAAGATGTTGAAATATAGTCATTCTGCTATGCCATGATTTTTCATGTGATGGAACTCTGCCAGATTAATAACAATAATCTATATCCTCTTCATTTCCCTAAGAATTGTCAAACTGGAATCAGAGCATATATATGAGTTTGCTAGGAACAAATGTTTATGCTGGCTCAGCATGGTGGCCTGTGTCTATAATCCCAGACACTTGAGAGGCGAGGTAGGAGGATCACAAGGTTGAGCCCAGCCTGAATAACTCTGCTGTTTATATTTTTGCTAAAACCTGTCTCAAAATAAAATTAAAAAAAAGAGCTGGGAATGAAAGCTGAGCATTCTGTGGGTTCAATCTCCAGTGGTGAAAGAAGTAGAAGGTGTTGACTAATGTCAGATATCTAAAATCTGAAAATGAGTACTGGACATGTTCATTGAGCACCTATTATCATATATGCATTAGTCAAAAATAATATTTTGGTGTGGACTTCATGACTTTGGGGGGTGAAACTTCTTGTTTTAAACAATGCAGTATATATAATGAAATTTACTATGTTAATCATTTTAACTATATTGTTCAGAACTTTTAAGTACACACTAATAGTTGTGCAACTGCTCATCAGAAGTCTTTTCATTTTGAAAAATATATATTTTATGCCCATTGTACTGTAACTCTTCATTCTTTATTTACTGCAATCTATGGTAACCACCATTACATTTTTTGTCTCTATGAATTTGACTATATTACTTATTTTCTATTAGAATAATATAGTATTTGTCATTTTGTGACTGGTTTATTTCACTTAGGTAATGTCCTCGGGGTTCATCCATGTCATCATGTGTGTCAGGATTTCCTTCTTGGTTAAGGCTCAGTAGTATTCTGTTGTTTATGTAGTCCACATTTGGTCTACACATTTGGTCTGTCAATGAATGCATTTCGCAATTGTGAATGATTCTGCTGTGAATATTTGTGTACAAATGTATATTCTAGACCCTATTTTTAGTTTTTTGGGTCATATGCCGAAAAGTAGAATTGCTTGAAAAGTTCCTTTCTGAAATGAGATCTAAGACCAGGGGAAGACACAGCAAAGTTTCTGCACAGGAAGTAAAGGTAAGAGAGGAATGAACTCCCACGCAGGGCAGTTTTAGCCCCGGGGTGGCGGGGAAAGGACTGCTGTGCATTTTCATCCAAAGAGCTGAGAAACAATACCATTGACAGGCAAGTTTTGCAAGATGTTTCGTTTAATTCAATCCCCTCCAAAACCTTAGGAGGTAGTGTATTCCAGGAGTGTGAGTGGAAGTTGTGTGTGTGTGTGCTTGCACACACATGCACTCACATTTGCCCGAGTCCATGTCTGTGTATGTGCATGGGCATGGTGTAATGACAAAGTAGTGCGCTGATTACCATCCCCTGGATTCCTATTCCAACTGTGAATTTTATTACCTGTGTAGCCATAGGAAAAATACTGAATTTCTCTTAAGTAATTATCTGTGGATGGTATCTGAGTATTAAATCAGCTGATGTATGCAAAGATTTTAGAATAATACTTGTACTAAGCACTTAATAGATATTTTATCGTGAAGTCATTTGTTTTATTTCTCTCACTTTTTTTTACTAATGAGCTGAAGCTTAAATGATATATTTTAATGAAGAATATGTACTTGTTGATTGACAGAACAGGATTTAAATTAAGCTGTTATGGCTTTAATGAAAAAGCTCTTTCCAGAATTTCATTTATGTTTCTCTATGTTAAAAAATAATCAAGCTCAGTTTAAATTCAGATTACTGTGTGTGGATTTAATTATTGCTATTTTATTTAATAAGGGATTATTGAGTAGCTTCTATATATTAGGCACTATGTTAAGTGTAGGGGTACTGTGGAAGGCTTAGACAAAAGGATACATTAAATAGGATGTAAGAAAAAAATACAGCAAATAAGAATAAATGTTAGAAATACATGAGATTTAGCAGAGTTAAAATTACTCTATTATTGGTAAAGGCTTCCTCAGGTTGTTGGTAGTTGTCATAAAAGCTGTTTTTCCTTGTATCACAAAAACACATCTGTGTATTTTGATCTTGTTTCTATTCCTACCACCTCCTCCCCGACACTCAACACTACTTCAATGTTTGAAAGAAATTAATTTGCACAATGATTGCTTCTGGTTGCTCAGAGCATTGTCTCATGGTGAGAGGTGATAAGTGGAGAACAGTGAGAAGGAAAACAGCTCTTTACTATACTCTGCTCCTTCCTTAACCCTTCTAAGACAGAACTGCTTAATTAACCAACTAGCTAGCACCTACCATACTAACTTAAGTGGCCCAGGGCCAATCCCCAAAGCCCCACTTTATTTGTATTTTCTTTACTAAGCAACAAGCTTGCCAGCTTGAAGTGTCTGTGTGATATGTAAATGATGCCCTGAGTCGTTTTTTATATTCATTCTACTTGGCAGTGGGAAAGTAGTTTCAGGGCTGTCATCTCTGCTGAAAGATATCAAGCCTCAGATGTCAAGGAAGATTTTCAATTTAATTCAGAAAAGCTAGATATTTGCTTCTTAGCTCTGCTGATTTACATCGGTTTGTTTGATTTATCTGTGGTGATGTAAAGGCTGTTGTTGCTGTTTTCACCTTACAGAACCAGAGGTTAATTAGTCTCCAAAGACATAAGTATTAGAAGATATTCTTGGTGTAGCTGGAGCTGTGGAAGCTGAGGTCCAGAGAAGTTTGCCAACAAAGCAAAGTGTGTGAAGTGGACTTGGTGAGGACCTGCCTGGGAAAGAAAAAGGAGAAACTTAGTGACTTCATCTCTGTTTCCTCTAAAGTTCTGGAGAAATAGCTCTGCTAGGAAGATACAAAGCAGAAGGTGCCCATTCTTGGGATGAAAAATACCCTGAAGCTGGGTTAGAGCCCCTAGGAATTCTGTATGTGTTTCCTGGGCTACCGTGGCTGAGTTCCAAGCCCAGAGCTTCAGGTGCTAGCCAGCCTTTTCATCTGTGGGGTCCCAGCCTTGTTAGGATAATGGACTCAGAGAGGTAGGGCATCACAGGCTATACCTGCAGATGGGGCACTGTTACAATGTCATCTGACTCTAAATTTTATTAGTGCTTAGGATAGTTGTGTGCATTCCAATAACTTTACTTACTGGTTGTTCTACTTGCATTTTGATATGCTTAGTCTACTTGCTGTAACCAGATATTAAAGTTAATGAAGTGGAGGATTGGGATGTAGTCCTCCCATTCCCCAGCTGGGGACTTATGGTTAGGATTCCAATGAGCTCTCCATTCTTGATAAACTGGGTTTGAATGCTTGTGACTTTAGGTTTTCCCCTTTCTCTTCAGTGGATTTGCCTTCTGCATTTGCACTAATCACTGAGGACTTGTGTGACTCTGACTTTGAGGTAACCAGGACAAGGACAGTATTTTCCAGAGAATTTCTTGCAAATGCTCTGAGACAGGTGTAAAGAGTGTCCTCTTGGAACACACTTTGAGCTGTCCTCACTCTCCACACACATAATATAGGGAATACAGGGATCCTTTGGGAAATGGTAGCCAATACAAGGGCAGGCAGTAAAAAGATTCGAAATCTGGCCTTTTGCTGTGATGCATAGAGAGTCAGAGATGAAGAATTAAGGCACAAAGATGTGCCATTAAGGACACAAGATATCTGTGTTTTTCTTTTACTGAAAGGTTTCTGCTATCTGAGATAATAATGCCTGGTATTGAAGGTATAGTCCTTGTGTACTTCTGGAGTCTTTCAGCAAGGCTCTTTGTGACTTTGCAACATTGCTGGAAGATATTGCCTCTGAGTCTTTTGCCATAGCAACTGTTCCTTTGGTGACCTACCTGGACAGAAAGGGACAAAAGATCTTAAGGCTAATGTACTCAAAGATTTATCTCCAGATGTGAAAGAATATTTTCATCTGTACTGCTTAATTATATGAAGATACTAGGCACATGGCTGCACAATAATTAGATATGCTTCCTTTTGTGTTGTAGAAGATTTTTGAAATAAATATTAACAATATTAATATTATTTTCAAAGACTGGGTCACTCAAAACAATTGATAATTTTATAATTTCTAAGCAATTATTCTCTGTATTCTTTATAGCTGAATGGGATGGTCCCTGTGTCACTGTTTAGGAAAGTGAGAGTGAAATATATTGTTTTTCTCTTGAGGGGGGCAGAATTTAGGAGTTAGGTGTGTGTGTGTGTGTGCGTGTGTGTGTGTGTGTGTGCGTGGTGCCTTCAGTGTACTCTTCTAAAGTCAGGGATGAGATAGGAGTAGAGGTTACCCAAATTTCAATACATATAGATATGCTATCAAATTGAGGGTGTTGGCCATGCATGAGGGAATCTAGACATTAAAAATATAGCCCTTTTCTCCAACCTAGAAAACTGAAGAGGTACTTACATGGAGAGGATCTGTTGCTGCTCATGATTTTTGCCTTGGATCCAAAGTTAATATGAAGCTGTTTCATAAAAAAGCTCATGTGGCAGTCTGCTGCCCTTCTAACTGACTCTTGGTTGTTGTTTCTAAAAGTCAGCAGCAGAGCTCTGTTGGGGCTGTGATTTATGTCCTCAGATTGACAGTGGAGGATTGTAACACTGAGGAGAGCTAAGGGACGCATGTATTTCTGTGCTGGGGTTGGCCACGTGGAATCACTGTCCAGGATTTAGAGTCTTTAGCAGGCAATGCCAGAAACCAAGAAGTCATAAACTTTCCTCTTAGGAGTTTATTTTCTGTGGTTTAATTAATTCATGTACACTTGTACATGTGATATGAATATTTTACTTAAACTAGATAATACCAGTGATTCTATATGTAATATTGTATGTAATTTTCTCTATATTAGTCTCTAGACAGAACATGGCCAAAAATAAATTAGAGACCAAAGCTGAATTATTTGCTTTTTCAGGTATCTGACCAATAAGTGTTTCATAACAACACTTCTGTTATGCATCCAGGTCACATATTTACCTTAAAAACAGTATTAGTAATCCATGTCAACCTGAGAATTTTTATGACTTCTAAATCATAAAAATATATTTATAAGTTTACTTTAAACTCAGAATTTCTGATTTATAGTTACTCTTTGTTTGACATACTATATATATATATATATATATATATATATATATATATATATATATAATAATGGCAAGTTAATACCCAAGGAACCAAAGAGTGAAGATTTACCTGGCTTTGCCTTTCTGGTGTCTAGTTGTAAATTATTTCTTATAATTTCCCTAATTTTATGGCAAAACCATTAGGAAACATTGAAAACCACCATAATTAGGCATTAGCATCATGCTGTCCACTGCCTAAGGCAATGGAAGGAGGACTGAGTCCTTTCCTTGAGAAAGAGTTATGTAATAGAGCTGGAGAAACCCAGAAAGCCCATGACAAGATGGAGGCAGTGATCCCAAGGAGCAGGAGATAGATGACAGCAAGAAATGATAGGGAAAACAGAGCACTCATGAGCCTTGTCTGCTCAGGTCACCTATGCCAATTCCTAGAAACTTCCCAAATGGGACCAAAGTTGATGCTGTAAAAAGAATGTGCCATGAATATTTTTCTTTGCATATTAAAGAGAAAGATGAAGCCAGAAAGCTGTAGGCTTTTCTGTGGATGTTTGGTTTACAAAAATATCTCTGAATTGGGATGCTGGATGTTCATTGGCTTTCTCTGAGGAATATGGGGCCAGTGAATTGGCAGGGCAAAGAAGAAATACCCATAGCAGGTGTTGAAAACTCAAATGCCTACAGAGGCCAGCAAGCCATGTAAATGAGTAAGCTGAATCAGGTGTAAAAAAGCAACAGCAGAGCTTCATGATAAATGGTGGCTGGCTTCAGTCTCAGTGGGAGGGAGGCAGCAGCTCCTATTGAGTACTGGCTGCCTGGAGCTCGCAGAACTCCCCCTCTAAGGGGCAGCTGCTGTTTGTCTCTAGCAGAGGAGTTGGTGCAGGAATGAAATCTTGATATGGCTGGCAATTCACACATTTCAAGTGGTGTCACAAATCCAGATTTTAATGTGAGCTATAATGACAACTAATTCAATTTTAAAAAGAAAAGAAAGGAAAAGGAGAAAATTGGAAAAACTAGAAAAAGTACACCTGGGCCAAGGAAAACTCTTCTATCTTGGCCTCCACTTCAGAGGGTCCTCTTTGGTTTCCTTGGGGATTAGAGTGGACATCCTTCAGAACTGTAAGAGGCCAAGGAGGAAGAGGCACAGGAGAGGAAGTACTAGCAAACCAGAGTGGTCTGATGTGACTGTGTATTTGGACCATAATAGATAGGCAATAAAATTGAACATTCCTCCTACATGATTTTGCTTTAGATTTGCTGTTTTGATTTAGCCCAGATGGCAATAGATTATTGAGGAAATAAAGTAAATAAACCATGAAAGTCAATCATTTCTAAGCATATACATTGCCACTTAGACAAATTTTCAAGGAGAAAACAAATACTGACCTGTGAGTAAGGGCTAGTGATTGCTTGCTAGGTAAGAGCAACTTCATAGAACATCTTTTTTCTTTTTTTCCAGAATATTTGTGTGACAGTAGTAGAATGCTTTTCTAGCTAGGGTTAAGCATGTTGTCATTTCTGCAGTCCAGTATTAAAAAAATTATTTCTCCTTTAAGAATATCCAGAAATAAACTTTGTCTTAATTGGTTTCTCTGTATCTTGATTTTCTTACAATTCTGCCTGCCTTCACATCAAGCAGGGAATTTGAACTGGATCAGCCAAGTACTTTATCAGTGGATGAAAATCTCTGTTGAGGCTAAAAACCATTCTGCACAAAAACATGTATGCACACACACTAACACAGAGATTCCTCTAAGAGAATCTGCCTTAAGTAATTAAAGGTAATATGTATGAAGTGTTAATTACAAAATCACTGTGCTCTTCAGAATAGTGCACAATTATCAGGGAAACAGCCCAAATAACATCAAACCACAAGATACCCTTGTACCATGAGCAATAACAATTTATTTTCAGACCTTCAGCTGTCTATTGTTTATGCATGAATTTCTATATATTCCATATCTTCCTGGGCAAATGGGTATGCGTCACATCATAAAGCTTGTGAAAATGAGCATATGAAAGTCAAACATATCTGGATTCAATCTTTTCTCAGAACTATTTACTTACTCAGTATATTAGTACACACAATATTAAGTGAAAGTCTTGGGTTCTACTCATTCACTGTAGCCACATTGTCCACAAATGTTAACTGTGTGTATATAGGTGTTTATATCATGGGACATATTATGCTGTATATCAGAGCTTATAATTTCAGGATCTGAAATAATCAAACTGCTGGAAAGAAAATAAATAATTAAAATCAGAAAGAAAAAATCTATTGTGATTCCTCTAACCTTGTATTTTATAGTATTTGATGCTTTGACAGTCAAGTTCCACATGTTAGAGAGAAGAGTGACACTCTGACAGCCCCAAAAATGTATTGGTGAGCCAATAGACATTTGAGGTTCATCTTTCATTGCTGAAGGATCCTGAGTCTGCAATCTCACCACAAAATGAATATATCTTCCTGGCCTATATCTAACCTTTTGGAGATGTTTCACAATGAGTTTTTAATAAATAATAGTGCTGGCCTAACTGTCTTCCAAAACTCTTACTATTTTTGCATCTAAGAAATAATGTGTAAAAGCATAAGTGGAAGAAAAATAGGTATTGCTTATAGTAAGACAACAATAATATTTAAGTTTTTGACTGTTTTTTAAAATATTTATGATATAATCTAAAGCTTATACATTGTTATTGATAATTAAGGATTTGTAACATATATTTGCACAGAATTCACATGTGTATGATAGGTACAAGCAAATGAAACCCAATTTAGCGTTATAGTTACAGTATAAATGGCTCCCACAGGGAGTGGCACTCAAACTGTAACACCAATCAGAGTGACCTGGAATACCTGTTCACAATCCACACATCTCTCTGGGATCTCCCCATTGGTATCTGATTCAGTAGGCCTGGGATATGTGAGAGAATTTCATTTCTAACAAAGTTTCTGATGATTCTAATTCTTCAGGTCCAGAAGTCAAGCTCAGAAATCATTATGTTTTAGCATAAACCCCATCTTATCAGGGGAGAAATTCTGCTGCTTATGCAGATACCATGCTTAGTGCGCACAAACAGATAAATGAATAGTGCTGCTGAAAGCCATCAAAATGTCTGAACAAAGAATTATTACAAATAATTTTTAATGGACCACCTTCATCTGTATTTCACTTACAAAAACAGTCCACAGAAGGCTCAGATGCTTCCATTTGAACAAAATACTGGTTCTATCTTATTAACAAAATTTATTGCTGCTAGAGTTTTTATTATTATTATGTTTTCAGCATTCTTATAGATTTTGTTACATTTGGTTTTTGCTCTCCATTTAACTTACATTTCACAGTATCTGCTTTTCTCATTCCAGGTGGATGTGGGGCATTAAAATTTTTTTTCAGAAATATCTAATATTAGTATTCTTATTACTGCTTTCTTCTCGTCTTCATATTATAATAACTTTGTTTAGGGAAAAATTTCTTTTTTTGGTAGGAATATTTGAAACTAATGCATTCTCTAATAATACAATGACTTTTTGGAAATCTCAGAAGATATGAAATGTGGCTATAATTAAAATACAAATAACCATAATGAGCCAGGTTGTATACTATATTCTTGAGAGAAGAAAAGAAATCTAGTGTAGTCATAATTTTAATACTATTCAAGAGGACAGATAAATTCTAAGCATTGATAATTTCTGGAAGCCACAGAATATGTGTAACTGAAAAATGTCTTTTGGCAAATTTCCTGTGTATCTCTTCCATTCACATGGACTTTGTAGTAGATAATATTAATTTAATACATTACTCCTCTGAAAGAATATTCCATATGATTGCAACCAACTTATTAGAGGTATTATTCAAAATACAGCTAATTCATCATCCGTAGAATAAATTTCTTCTGTGATTGCCAGACACTGCCGTTCTTCTGTGTCAGGTATTATATGAAATTCTTTATAAATGTGACTTCAATTATTTATTACAATAAACTTTTGTAGTATGTAAAATTGTTACTTTGAAACTGCTTTATGTTCCATAAAAATAAAATTGACATTATTAGTCATTTACTTACAGAGGAGAGGAGAAGAAACATGTGGATATTACATTTTGTGTCCCCTGTCTTAATCTGGTTTTCTTATTTTACAGGTGATAATACTGGAACAATTTTTTATAATCACAAAATTGGATGCTACATATATGTTGAGAAACCAAGATATCACATAAGCAGCTTAGAAAAAATGGTAAAAAATATCAGAAAGTTGAGTTCCGTGTGGACCTTATGTCTTCTGCTTTTAGAAACAGTGTTTTATTTTGTTTTATTTTCCTCTAAGTGTTTCTTCTACCATGAGATTTGTTTTTTTATCACATATAAATATTAATTATTTGGCTCATACTAAAGTTATATAATTCTTTTCTCTCTTTTTTTCTTATATAGTTCTTTAAATGGTCTCATGGGAATAATGAACTTCAGAGTTGAGACTGATTCACAATAGTGGTTTGTTACTACTCAGGCAAACCAACATTGAAGGGCAGAGGAGGTTGAAGCTGTTTAAGCTAGAAATGGGCCTAAACTCATGAATTCAAGACATGACCTCCAGGAAAATTCTGCATAATTCTGCATACTCCTCCTTTTCCACTTCATCTGTCCTCATGCCGGGATGACACCATCAGACAATGAAAAGCTGAAAGTTTCACACTAGAATGAGAAATAAGACTAAAAGGACAGCACAGAAAGTTTATGCAAAAAAGGGACTGATTTTTTTTCTAGTGATGGGAGTTGTGGTAGGCAGAATACTAAAATTAAGATTACTACCCGCTTATTACTCAACCAGATGCTAATCTAAATACTGTTGTGAAGGGATTTCCCTGATGGAATTAAAGTTATAGGCTCTACATAGGCAGATTTTCAGCAGGGAAATTCACATGACCCTGAAAAGCAAAGAACCATATTTTATTGAAGGAATATGAAAAATACTGTGAAATATGTTGCAGCACAGAAAGATGGAGGGGAAGATATATATATATATATATGAAAGTGTATTAGTCACTTTCCTATTCCTGGAAAAAAACATCTGACTTCCACAATTTAAAGTAGGAGAGGTTTCTTTGATTTATAGTTTCAGTGGGTTCAGTCTGTGATCACTGGCTACAAGAAAGAAACAATATGGCAAAATGGGATGACAGAGGATGGCAATTCAACACATGGCAGTCAAGAAGGAAAGAGACGCAGAGAGAGACAGAGACACAGAGAGACACAGAGACAGAGAGACACAGAGACCAGAGATAAGAATATACCTTTACAGGTCATGCTCCCAATGATCTACCTTCTTCAACCAAGCCTCACCCCCTAATGGCATATACACCTGTAAAGTGGCTTAATCCACTGGTGAACATAGTGCTACAGAATCCAATCATCTTGCAAAAGCCTCAGCTCCGAACATGTGAGACTTTTGGGGGACATTTTAGATCTAAATCATAACAGGAAAACTCTATTATGGAGATGGAGGAAGAAAAGGTAATAGGTATGAATAAGGGATGAAGAACATCGGGAAACTGAGGCTACCTCCCAGCTCCCAGCTGGCAAAACTGTGGACCCCTTGGTCCTATAATTCTGAAAAACTGAATTCAGTCAACAACTTGAATAAGAAATCAGCCACTGACTACTACATTTTGGCCTTATAAAAGTGAGAGCAGAGAAAGCAGCTGAGTTAATCTGAACTTCTGACCAACAGAGCTGTAAAAAACCAAACATGGGTTTCCTTAAGCTGCTGAGATGTAGCAACTGTTTCTTGTAGCATAAAAATATAGCTCAGGAGAACAGTATGTGACAAGATCGTGACAGACCTGTTATGAGAAAAGCAGCTCTCATGAAATTCTGCACATCTCACCCTCCATCATGTTTTATCACAGTCATTTAGGGCAAGATTCACATTTTGTTGATCCTTGAATCTATAACGTCTTAGTCATATACTGGATTGACCAGTGAGCAGCAAGAGAGAGCTTAGATTTTGCAAATCACTGTTTGAGACTTAACATATATTGACAATCTAAATTTCATAGTCTACTTACTCTTTCAAGTAATTTTATTCTATGCCCATTAACGAAATCAGGCACAGAGAACTAATTGTCTGCTGAGTTCACATAGCTGGTAAGTAGCACAAGGCAAAGTTCGATTCCATGTGGGGTATCTGCCTAGGTCATGATCATAATCATTATGCTATGTTTCTATTTGCCAAGTGAATTAATGGGCATCTACTAGCATTAAGTATTTTTAACATTTGCCACTTTTGAAATTTCCTCCATGTGTTCCACAGACTCCCTTATTAGTTTCCATCAATACTATGCCTCCAAATTTACGATTAAGAATCTGCCAAAAATTATAATTAAACTTTACATCAGGTTATCGGGAAAATACATTTTTGAAACATTAACTTCTAAGTTAGTTTAAGTCTGTTCAATGTGCTCTGAATTCATCCTTTGAACAAACTACCCTATCTTCTGGGTGAGCTCTCCCAAGTATCAAAGGTTTTGGAGTATCAGTTGGCATGAGAGGGAGGTTGCAAACCTGTTTTGTCTCCTGGGAGATAGTACCTTCTTTCTAGTGTGCAAGGATGACTCAATGGTGAAAATGAATTAACTCATTGATACTTAGAAAATTAATATTGTTTGCAAATGAATAATATGTTGACTGTATATATTCTTATTCCAAGGTATCTTTCTGACCACAGAGCAGTTTCTCTATCATCTCTGCCTAAGAGGAAGTATTACAAGACAATGAAACAGCAGTTTTGAATAAAATAAACCAATTTTTGTTATTCTAAGATCTTAGAATCAAGAAGCATTTAAAAGAGGGTACAAGAGGAAGAAAAATTTTGTAGGAAGAAAAAATGTGCATGAAGAAAACAAAGGACAAAGAATTTTGAATCACTTGAAAAGATACTGAGTTAAAGAAAGAGGTCTCTGGAACCAAATTCCAGGTACAGGACCCAAGAAAATGACACACCTGGAGAGGAAGAACCAGAGAGACTTCGAAAATGCATACTGGCCACCCCTCTCTGGGACCTTGAAACTTGTACTACAGATGTACTTGCAGGTAGACTAAGGATTGGCTCCTCTCACTGGACATTGAATAGCACAGACAGGTGGCTCAGCTGTAGGAAGTTTGTGTAGTCAGAAGTCTCACAAATGCAGCCTCTTAAGGCAAATCCCACCTCCCCCAATTTCTCATCATCTCATAAGAACATTTTACTTTATCTCATTGTCAGATTGTGTTCTTGTTTTTTTTTTTTTTTTTCCATCTTGTTAGGATGGGGACTCAGAATCAGAAATCAAGTAGAGTTATGGGGAAAAAAAATGACATTCCATTTTATACTTCATTTTCTAATATGGATTTACCCTTTTTCAATTCTATGCTCTGCAAATAAAATTCAGGTATTAATTGACACAAATTAATCTACACAATCAAAAGGTTTTCTTTTAAAGAAGTATATGTCAAAATTGATATATCTGAGGCTTATACAAAAAACTAACAGATTCCATGGATAATTCAGTAGCCTGGATAATGATGTGATCTTCCTAATACTCTGGCTACATGGTCTAGTTTTACAAACATATCTGCCATGCCCTGTGACATTTCATGTTGTTCCAGCCAATTCCTCTTTCACTCATACCAGTGTGACTTGCTTTCTATTGCTTTTTATCAATTTACCCTTGGTGACAATGTTTAGTCTGAAATTTTACTTCTTAGCTGTTACTCTGACTTTATAAAATAACATTACACTTATATTCTCCCCACAAAGGATCTGTTTATTTATGTAAAATCATACACGATAACTACTTTTTATTATGGTAAAATATACATGACATAAATTCTACAACATTAACCATTTCTAAGTGTGCAGCCTAGTTCATTTAGGACCTTCACGTTGTTGTATGAGTTCACACCAATCATCTCCAGAAAGTCTCCGTCTTCCCGAACTGAAACTTTATGTCCATTAAGCAACGACTCACCATTTCGTCTTGCCTCCTGTTCCTTGCCTCCACCCTTCCATTTTTCATTGTTTCATTTTATCACTTCTAGGTGTGTTATAGTGTTGGTCCTATGGTGATGGCTTATTTTATTTAACATAATACTGGCTTCGAGGGCCGGGGATTTAGCTCAGTGTTTTCGCCGCCTGCTGCACAAGCTCAAGCACCCGAGTTCGATCCCTGGAACCAAAAAACAAAACAAAATAAAAAAAATTGGCTTAAAGTTTCAGCCATCTTATAGTATTGTCAACATGAATATTTTTTCTTTTTAAGGATGAATAGTACCTCATTTTATGTATCCATTATATTTGAATTATCCATTGATTTATATTTTGGGTGTTTCCACCTTTGTTTATGGTAAATAAGGGTACTAAGTACACCTCTGTATAGCATATTAACATGTTGTTTTCTGAATTAATTATACCCTTTTACATTTCTTTTCTTATCAAACTTGATTTCCTCTTTCCCACTGGGCTATAAGTGACATTTAAGACAGTAATTCTATAACTATTTCACAACCACTGGTACATAGAAGCCATAGTAACACTTGTTAAGTAAACAAGGAAATAAATTATATTGTGCATAAAATCTGACTTGATTGGTCACACTTTCTTCCCTTAAAATATGTGGATTTTCCTTAGTTGTTTCTAAAACTTAATATACAATATTTGTTATTCTGAGACCAGCCATATCTGTGGCTTCTAAATAAACTTAATTTTTTCTATTTTGCATTTTTATTTCAATGTTTATAATATTCTTTTGATTATGTTTCTAATTTTAAAGATTGTCAAGCTTGGGTCAGAAGAGAGAATTGATTTGTACAAATTTGATTCAAATATCATTTCATCTTTTGCTTATTAATCCTTTATTTTTAAATTCAGAAAATATCCAGTGTGTCTTTACTTACTGTTTTATTCAATTATTCTGTTTTACTTTAGGAAGAATTCTTAGAAATGTGAGATTCAGGGTATTGCCTCTTACTTCTATGTAAACTATCCTCTTTCTCATTCTGTTCAATATAATATACTTCGATGCTTTTTTTTAGTGGAAAAGCTTTTTGAGAGTTTGATAGCTATGTCTTTTTTAGCTAATTAATGTTCAAAGAGCAGTGGATACTTAAGAAATAATTTTTCTAAATGTTTTTCTAAGATTCTCAAAATGTTTTAAGGATTCATGGCACTCTGAGAATTAGACTGAAGTAATTACCAGTAATTTAGTAAGTAATGACAAAAGCAAAATTCTTTTAAATTCTGGGTTCTAATCAAACATAACAGCCAATGGAACACTTTATGAAGAGGCTCAAAGATTTAATGTTTGCATTGTTGTCTTCTCACTTACTTGCCTACCATTGTTTGCTTTCTACCCTGACATTGACTAGAGGAATATTGGTCCATGTTTCTGATATAGTTTTCTGGGGCTGGGTAGTACAGTACAGACCTTTTCTTTAAAAATCGTGCTTTGGTTTGTCTTGTGTCTCTGCACAGCCGAGCATAAAAACGTCCGTTTTACCCTCCAGCCATGAGCAATTTTTGAGGGAGCCTATGTTAGAGGCAGTTAGAGATGTACAAGCTATGGTCATCTGAGGCAGGGGCTGGAGGGAGGGAAGGGAAAGGGAAGGAAAGGCTAAGGAGGAGGATTTTTGGAAGAACAATACCTCTGAAGCACTCCCAAGTGGAAGTGCGTCCAGGGCCCTACAGTATGCTCAGAAAAGGTCTCAGGAACCCAAGAACAACACTGCTGTCCAATTTTGCATGCAAGCAGAAGTTATTCAAAAATTTTGACTTTGAAGTGTGACACCCACTATAAATTTTGAATGTTACCCTAGTTAACTACATTATCCGTAAGTTTTTTATATATGAAATGGTGATAATATTTCTTATCTCATTTGTCTAGCATGATAATTCAAAGATACAATGATATATACATAAAGTAATTGTATATAATAAGTAATTTTTAATTACTAATAACAAAATTAAATATTTTTATTCTTGGTTGAAGAATTATTTTTATTTTAGTTATTAATCTTTAATAACTTTTGTGTAGTTTCTGAGATATTTTTGGGATCAAACTATCTGTTTTAATTTTTTTAAATCTCTGGGTAGATGGATAGCCAACACTTGTCTCTAGCTTTTTCTGTTTAACCTCTATAAAACAGACACATTCGTTCCTCTTAATTCCCAAATTCTCTTCCCTAGTTTATTTATGTAGTTTCTCAAAAATAAAATTTATCCTTGATCCTTTATCTCCTACATCGAACCCTCACCATATCCTGTGCTGCATTAAAAAAAAAATAACAGAATCCATCCACTTTTTCTATCATGACCAAAGTTTCTTCAGACTTTAGCACCCATGCTATAGTCCAGGAAGAGAGCATCAAAAGAAAATAGAGATTTTGGTATTGATATCACCAATTTTTAACTTGGGATGTGCAAAGAAAAACACTACTAGGGGCTTCCCTTGAGGATGGTAACACCACCAAGATAAAGGAGCACTGTTCCATCATTTATTTACTCACAGACGGCAATTTAAGACATTAACTTCTGATTTTATTTCTATAGTCTCCTTCATTCTATTTTTTGCCCCATTTTTCTTCCTTTCCTGCCTTCCTGCTATCTCTATTCACTCTTCATTTACTCTGCCTGTATACCATCCTTTAGCTGACTATTTACATTTTTATAACAGGTATTATCTAAATCATTTACTTTCAACCTTTTTCCAACTATGTGCTGATGTGTAAAGTTTGTAAGTTCATTACTATACTATCCTGTTTATGGCTCAGAAAGTTTGCAGTTGATAGCTAATTATTTTTCTTTACATTTATTTATTGGAATAAAAATTTCTCTGAACTTAAGTAATAAGTTTAAAATAAGTGGAGATGAACTGCTCAGTAACAGTTGTTCAAACCTAAACTCTCCAATTGACATTTCTTTTTTTTTGGAACAGGATATTACACAGGTAGAGAAAGTAACCATTGCCAAAGGAAACTAATGAGTATATTAATATTTATAAGGTGGTCATTAAAGCATTAACTGTAATTTGAATGATAATGCTACAGGCAGACTTGTCACAGTATTCATTTCCATGCACTATCTTGATCTCTGTAAAAAACATTGCCCGAGCTAACTCCCTCTTCATGGGAACATGATGAATAAAGCACTTTCCTAATAAATGCTGGAGCATGATCTTGAATTGATGGTACTGTGGGAAGACAGTCTTGCTTTTATATATTACTATTGTTTGCTTAGTGCCCAGAACATAAAAAATAGAATTAGAAAAATATACACTGCCCTTTGACTATAACATGCTTGTTGGAAATCCTCATCACAGAAAATGTTTCAAATAGTAAAGAAAAATTAAGCTTTGATGATATAAACCAACTCATTCTAGAAATACATGACAGAAATGTTAAAATAACTTGAAGTGTTATTTAATAATTGGTAGATTGAAATTATGTATCACAATAATAGCTGTTGCATGTAGTATCATTATTTTAAATTACTGTTGGTATAAACACATTTTTATGAGCACATAAAAAAGTAAATTCCTTGCACCAGGGGTTATTAAAATTAGAACTCTCCTATCCTTATATATTTTTAAACTGCATTGGAAATCAATTGTGCATATTTATTTAAAGTAATATTCTTTTTTTGTGGTATCTGATTGTAAACTCTTGCCCAGTTATTTTGATAATAATATCATGTGTATAGCATACAAGTGTAGAGCTTTGTGGTTATATTATTCATTATTAAAGTCAGTATGATGTCTTGTGGCTTATTTGTAGTTGTGAAAATCAAATGCTCTTACATATCTAAAATGTCTAATGGTGCTTGGAACCTAGAAGTTGTTATCCATTATTAACATTATTGTCATAATGACTATTACTAGAAGTATCTTTTATATTAATATTTGTGTATCTCATACCTCTACTTTTAAATATTTTTTATTTAGTCTGAAGATGTGTTTCACTCAAAGGAACATTAAGGAGGAGATCATCTAGTTTACAGCTTACCTAGCACCTTGGACTATACTGAGAATATTGAAAGTGTTTAATTTAGCTCAGTGTGCGAGACATTTATAAAATGTTTGATTTGACCATTGTCTGCTCAGAAGAAAGCCTAAGCTTTGATAGACAATTGCAGATGCCACTAGGTTTTCCTTTTGTGTTTTGCCAGTGTGGACTGTTGATGAAAATGAGAGAGCATGGAAACACCCGTTTCTGCCATGACTTTTTTCTTTCTTACATCCTGATCTCCCTTTCTCTCAGCCTTTGCTCTGTCTGACTGCTTTACAGCCCCAGTGCTATATTATTTCCTTTTGTTGTTCTATGTCCTTCTTTTCAGGCTGCAATAACATTCTGGAAATTTGCTTATATTCATACTTTCTAAATTAAATTGAGCTTCCCTGCAGCTCAGCAATCGTAATTAAAACAAAATGGCAGAAAGTATTTCTTCTCTATCATCTTGTTCCCTTCAGGTTCTAGGAAAGTATTAAGTAATGAGAGAAAATATAGAGAGATAGCCACAACAATATTAATTTGGGCCATATGAATGTTGTATAGTGTGGAAACTCCAACAATGGTGATAACAATGTCTATAAATTATTGATCATTTGCCAAGCATTTTGAAATATATTTTATATATTATCTAGTTGATTATCATAATAACACTTTGTAAATAGATTATTATATCTATATTACAGATGTTGGAATTCAGTTCAGAGAATTGAAATCAATTGCCCAAAGTCATATCACCAAAAAAGGCAAAGTTGGGATTTAAAGCACATTTTAATTTCAAAGTTAATTTTATTTTTACTTTTTGTGTGGCACATCTATTTTAAATTGTTTGTCCCCTAGAATGTCTTCAATTTTATAACTTTAATTATATTCCTAATCACATACTTGGCTGCTGATTTAAACTTTCTTTTATTTTGAAATTCAAAAGAATGAGTTGTGATCTTCCTTCCCCTTCCCTGTGTAACAAGAAAGGCCTGCATAAATCCATGGCTTCTCCATATTAATGACTAAGATATCTAAACCTTCTACACAGAGAAAGAGGATGTGCATGGCAACACTTGAGTCCTGTCTTCAATTATAACCTAGGTGTGATTACTCTAAGTTCAACTCTCTCTGAAAATCCTCAGGCCACAGCTCATGCTCTATACTTCATTTCAGACACTCTGCAGACACTTACTAGTGTCTCACACCACCTGCGCATGTTCCTTCTCCTATTACCTGTATCAGATAATACCACTCCTTCACTGACCATGAACTTTGGGTCATCTTGTTATTTCTTCCCTTCCAGATATAATATTTTATTTGCCCCCAAACCAAGATGCTTTCTTACTTCCTCCACTTAATTTCTATCATGACTTCCTTAATAAAGAATTTTATAATAATTTGAAAACAATCATTTTAACCACCTCAGGGCAGCTCTTGCCGGTCCCCTTCTTCCTATTTCAAAGTTATGAGTTCAGCCAGCTGTGGCAGCACATGCCTGTAATCCCAGTATTCTGGGAGGCTGACTGAAACAAGAGGATCACAGGTTCAAGCCCAGCCTAAGCAATTTACTTAATTAGGGAGATCCTGTCTCAAAATAAAAACCAAAAAAAGAATAGTGAGCTACCCCTAACTTGAATGTGAAGGCCTGGTTCAATCCCCAGAACAGCATGCAGACACACACACA